ACAAGCTGGTGGCACTGAATGGCAGAGATTGGGTGACTTATTACTTAAAATTGGTCAACTTAATAAAGCTGAAGAACTTTATAACGTATTACTCAATCGAACATCTAATGAGGATGAAAAAGCATATTACTATGTTTGTCTAGGTTATCTCAAAACTTACCAGGGTGATTATAAAAAGGCTATCTGGTATTACGAACAAGGACTTGAAATTGATCAAAAAACTCTCCCTTCAAATCATCCTGATTTGGCTACTTCATACAATAACATCGGAGGTGCGTATGTTAGAGTAGGAGACTATTCGAAAGCACTTTCATCTCACGAAAAAGCACTTGAAATCCGACATAAGACTCTTTCTTCGAATCATACTGATTTAGCTACTTCATATAACAACATCGGTTTGGTGTATAACAAAATAGAAGAATATTCGAAAGCACTTTCACTTTCCGAAAAAGCACTTGAAATTCGACTGAAAACTCTGTCTTTAAATCATCCTAATTTGGCTACTTCATACAACAATATCGGTTTGGTGTGTGACAACAACGGAGAGTACTCGAAAGCACTGTCATTTCTCGAAAAAGCACTAGAGATTCGACATAGAACTGTTCCCTCAAATCATCCTGATCTGGCTGCTTCATACAGAAACATTGGTTTGGTGTATGACCACATGGGTGGCTACTCTAAAGCACTTTCATCTCACGAAAAAGCACTTGAAATTCAACACAAAATTCTTCATTCAACTCATCCTGCACTGGCTACTACATACAACAACATCGGTTCGGTGTATGATAACACCGGAGACTACTCGAAAGCACTTTCATTCCTTGAAAAAGCACTTGAAATTCGACATAAAATCCTTCCCTCAAATCATCCTGATTTAGCTACTTCATACAACAAGATCGGTTTGGCGTATGACAACATGGGAGAGTACTTGAAAGCATTTTCATTTTACGAAACAGCACTTGAAATTCAGCAAAAAGCTCTTCCTTCAAATCATCCTTCTTTGGCTACTTCATACAGTAGTATCGGTTCGGTGTATGTCAACATGAGAGAGTACTCTAAAGCACTTTTATCTCACGAAAAAGCTTTTGAAATTCGACAAAACACTCTTCCTTCAAATCATCCTGATTTGGCTACTTCGTACAGCAACATCAGTTTGGTATCTAATCACATGGGAGATTACTCTAAAGCATTGTTATATCAGAACAAAGCACTTGAAATTCAGCAAAGCACTCTTCTTTCAAATCATCCTGATTTTGTTACTTCATACAGCAGCATCGGTTTGGTGTATAATCACACGAGAGAATATTCTAAAGCATTTTCATTTTGCGAAAAATCACTTCACATTCGACATAAAACTCTTCCTTCAAATC